TAGTAGAGAGTAGTGTGTGTGTGTGTGTGTGTGTGTGTGTGTGTGGTGTGTGTGTGTTGTAGTAGAGAGAGTGTGTGTGTGTGTGTGTGTGTGTGTGTGTGTGTGTGTGTGTGTTGCAATTATTCACCTGATTGATAACTCTAGAGATACACTTGCTTTGTATGTCCTTCTAATGCCTTTTGTGACAAACGCAGGTTATGTTTCCTGGAGAGACACCCAGTCAGGCTCCTGGTACGTGGAGACACTCGATGGTATTCTTGAGGAAAATGCTGCTTCCGATGACTTGGTCACAATGTTGATGATGGTGAGCTTTTTACCATTTAGAGCTTTTTTAATTTCCAACATGGACACATCTGATTGTTGTTTGTGCTTTTTGTCAGGTCAACCATGAAGTCTCTCAAAACTCAGCAAAAGGGCTCTACAAACAAATGCCTGGTTCCTTTAACTTCCTCCGCAAGCTTCTCTACTTTCAAACCCAAGCATAGCGGTAGAGTTCCGTTCAGGAAAGGAAAGTTTACTTCATGGATGTAATTTCAAAGATTCAAAGGGTTTATTGTCATATGCACAATAGCTAGAGTGTAGTTGTTGGTAATGGAAATCTAAGCCTCAGGCTCCTCAAACAATGCAACATACAATACACTTGAAACATGAGAAAGAAAATAGTGCAAATAACATCATTGTGCAATTGGGATTTCTGAAGTGTATGAACTTGTTCAATTGTTTTTACAGACACAATCATGTCTTAGTGTACATTTCTATTGTTTGTCACATCTTGTAATGTTTTTAATTCTTTTAACTTTTTGGGTAATGGTGTAGAAAATATTTATGTACTGTGAAAATGTTCTCCAGTTTATAGGCTTGATGTCTCATTGACACAAGCAGCTGTCGAATTTCAAGAGTAGACAATCAACGTGATGTTTCATTTGTACTCTGAAAATTGATATTAAAGACGTTGCTTTCTTATAAATGTTCATAAACAAATGTGAAGTTATGTCTCTTCTAAAATACAACGCACAAATGAATGCAAAGTTATTTTTATCTGTATCGCTGCTTCTAATTTAAAGGTCACCTACTGTATTATGCAAAATCCACTTTTTCATGTCTATTATACATAAACATGTGTCCCTTCTCCGTAAAGAGATTGTCCATTTATATAAAAACCTGTCTGAAAATGAGCTGATCAGATTTTGGCCACTTTATGATGTCATAACTTTTTTTGGCTTGTGTAACCATTAGCCAATAACCAACCAAGGTAACCCCCCCCCCACCTTATCACCTGAATCTCCTCCTAGAGCACCATTGTGTTCTTTTTAACCAAATATCTCTCAGAGGGGCGTGGGGAGTGGCTCCTTATTTTCATCTAAAGTAACAGCCAGAGAATCAGCTGTTTGTATATATCTGAGACCTAAAATATATTGATGAAAACAGTATAATAGGGGACCTTTAAAATGTTTCACTTATTTTTTTAATTAGAAAGATACAGATTTTACCTTATTAAAATGTATTGATTTTGTTTATTTCACAGGCACAATGAACAGGAGGCAACAAAATGTCTGTAGTTGCTGCAAAGTTTGTATCCTAAAAATAGCATAAGATGAATACATAAGCAATAATAATCAGATGTAGGCCGTATCAATTACTGTAAAATTAAACAGGGATAGACATGGGCAGCAGTAAAAGCAGAGCAGATACATAACAATGTATTGAGCATTGGGTTTTTATGAGTTATGTAAGTATTTTTGTATAATAATGAGACTATTTTAACACAATGAAGCTCAGCGCAAGTTCTTTCAGGAAGACTGGCTATATACATTCACTCCGCAGCTGCATATAATCAGCTCATCACGGGCGTTGTCTATAACAGTGGTTCCCAATCTGGGGGGCGCGGCCCCGTTGGGGGGGTCGCCAAAGATCGCAGGGGGGGCACCAGGCCTCAGATGATTTGAGGCCAAATATCATATTTAGACTTTTTTTTTTTTTTTACATATAATTGTAAGGCAATACATGATTGTCACTAAAAGCCTTGTAGTTACATTACAATAAAATATAAACAATAATTGATTAATTAATTTTAATAAAAATGTGTTAGTAGCTAATAAAGGCATAAAAAGACAGACATTTATCATTTTTTCTTTAATAGAAATGTTTCTTCTGCCCGTAAAGTGTCCAAACCATGCCGGTTTCAGTTGGATTATTTGTCACAGTTGCTCCGATCAGATCGGTCTCCTCCATTTTGTAGATTATTTACGACTTTTGAATCCACATAAACAAATCGGCAAAATCCGGCTTACTTTGAGCATGTGTTTTAAACAGTTTAATCCCTTTGTGAATTGTTTCCACTTGTGCCGTCCTTTACACATGCTCAAAGTAAGCCGGATTTTGCCGATTTGTTTATGTGGATTCANAAAAATTGTATTATATAAATCTTGCTCTAGTTTTCTGCCATTGAAAATCTTCTTTTAATCGTTAACAAAAGAGTGCCTTAAGACTCTCTGAATTACTTCAGTAATATGCAGGAAGCTTAACAATTAATTCCATATTGATAAGAGCATTAAACGCTTGAAAAATCTTCCTTTATGGTAGAAAAAATTGAGTTGGTAAATGTTCAACATTTTAAAAGCTTCTGCAAGAGCAGAGAGTCGAACATGCTTCTTAATTATACGTAAACACACACAGCTATTGTACTTTCACAGTGTGGTGCTGAGTCTGAAGCAAAGCATGATCTTTCAGAGGTGAAGTTGTTAGTAGTACTGGTCACTGGGTTTTTCTACTAGTTGAAAGCCAACCTTGTCTTTTATACAAAAATATAGACCCTGTTAGAAAAGGACAATGACTCGAAAACATTTCACAATAAAAAGAGACCAAGATTTTTGATTGATTTAGACAACACATCCTCACTCCCAGGTCGGCCTATGTTGACGTTATGTCAAGTCCCCTGTGTCGGCTTTTTCCAACGCAAGGGGGCGGCCCTTAGCGTACATTTTCAACTTTCCGGGATGTCCATAGGCTTCTATATAGCTCCCTAAACGTATGTTAGACGAGATCGCGAGCGAATGCTACCCGCAGATCCATTCTCACAGCATTTATCAACCTTTTTCTAACTCAATATCAAGCCACACTTATTGTTTTTACTTCTTTATTTTAATTGAATAATGTAGGACTTGTGTTGCTGTCAGTTATGGGGAGAGTAGAAGCCTATGGACATCCCGGAAAGTTGAAAATGTACGCTAAGGGCCGCCCCCTTGCGTTGGAAAAAGCCGAAACAGGGGACTTGACATAACGTCAACATAGGCCGACCTGGGAGTGAGGATGTGTTGATTTACAATGTCTTAATCTTTTAGAATAAACAATGTTCAGGTGCTGTTCTTTTACAATAACCTGATTGAGGATCCTGCAAACTGACAATATTTTTGTTTCATTGCTGTTTGTTCTGTGTCTGGACTTCCTTGAAGAACCAGAAAAACATCAGTCACTTCATATCAATATTTAAGTGTCTGGTTGTAGCATGTTCTGAAACTGCATAATGTTTAAAACAGAACTGCATTTTACACTTTATTAGCATAGTTCAAGGGAGCGATGTCACACATTTTCTCTTAATAGCCTATGTCATTTTTATTTTACCCAGGATTTTGTCTTGTTCTGTTAGTACCCTACCTTTTTAGTGTATCTAAATACATAATAAATGTTTCTTTGACAACATGTTGTTGTTGTTTAAGCAGTTGCTTAACCTCATAGTTGTGGCTCTTCTCATGCTGCATTCCACATCATGTTTTCCTCTGAACATGTGTACCACACATAGCCTCAGTAGGTTGTTGCTGTGCGAACTTGAAATAGGGCTTCATACATTCACAGCTCTTTTGAAACAAGGAACTGAAGCATTATCTACACCTAATGTAGGTAAATGTCTGTGGATAAGTTTCTCATACAACCCCACTACAAACAAACCAAATATCCCTTAAAGAGTAGCCCACTGCTGCCTAACAGTCCACACAATACATCCTGTTAATTAAAATCACCCCAAAGCATTCAAAGCAAGACTTAAAATTCCAATTAAGTAAAGGAAAAATAAATGGTATGTAATTTCCTTTTCATTTAATTTTTCCAAAACTACTAAGGCTGTTTTAATGCAAGAAGAAGAGCATAGAAACGTACACATTCATAGGGAAAACTTAAATAAACTACTAAATAAGGTAAAAAACAAGCAAAATCAGTTCATGATTTGCATTTTTGCATTACATCTCAATTGGACGGATTAAAGATGTGGGACATTAAGGCAAAGGATTGACAACATGTTAAAACATTACATACTTTTACATCCTTTATTTACGAATCTCTTTGGTTTTTGGACAACATTTTTGGAGCACATGTTGTATATTAATAAATCCTTAGTGCTGCTTTCTCAAAAGCATGATCAATATGTCAACATTGAGCAAATATCAACATTTTTGTATTATTTACCGGATGAAGAAACGTTTTCTGTGGGTGAAATTAAAACATTTTTTGGATTGGTAACTTATTTGTGATACTACTATTACTTTAAAAATGTCAGTCACCCTTTAAGCAGCAGCAAAAAATGTCTGAATTAGACTTAATAAAATATACTCCTTCTTTCATTTTATTTATTTTATTTCATATACCACACAGAGTGTTTGCTGTTTAGCTTGATTGTCTGTACGTCTACGTTTTTCTTAGCCATTGTAGCTACAGTGCTAATGCTAACTCCTAAACAATGTGGGGACACAAACTGCATCACTTCAATCCATCAAAACGTTAAACCTTAACACAACCTGTATGGGTGAAACTACTCTACATTGGTATTCTAATATAATTATAAATGATGAACAACACATGAACAAATTGACATATTGACATATTCTTTTCAATGCATGTTTATTAAGAGGAAAACTTTAAGATGCACCATCTCGTTTCCATGGGGTTTATTGTGATATGCCTGCCAATTCATTATGTCAACAGGTTAATTGTTTGGAAGCTGCTCAGGTTGTAGGATCTGTAATGAACAATAAATATTATTTCAGACAAATACTTTAAAACAACGGACAGCATGAAACGTGATAGCTTTCATCGCTGTCAAATTGTCTTTTAGGTTTTAGCAATTGGCCTTTTTTTCAGAAGTGTGCTAGCAACACTTTGTGAACATTTGAGATACTTACACAAGTGTAAGCAACCTCCAGGTACTTGTAAGTGCCGACACAAGGGTCTCCAAACTCAGAATTGGTTGTACTGATAGTGCAGCTGTTTTTTCCATTGCAGCTGTGGATGGAGAGTGACATGAGTGAATACACCCACATATACAGTCTATGGTGTAAACCTAAAGATATTTCATATAGTTTCAAATAAAAATCACAGCCTTTCAATCAGCAAGTATCGTATGTCACTAAATGTTTTGCAGATTCCTATTTTTGCGTTTTTAGCTGCTTTTAAATGCAAATGTTTATTGTTATGAAGCTTATAAAATAGTTCTCCCTATATTAACAAAGGCTGTGCAGCTTTAAATGTTAGCAACTTTGCGAGAATGGTCAGAGCAGTCGATTCTTTGAAGCTGGGAAGTGGGTCGATTGTAATAGCAGGTGGTACGGTCATGGCGTCCGTAGTTAACACCATAGATAAATACAATCTTTCCTTCATCTGTCAAAAAGAACACGACAATTGGCAACGTATGACAGAACTGTAATGTAGATTTATAGATGTATTGAGAATATCATTAGGCTTCTTACCGCACTGGAGGTGTGCCAAAGAGCCCTCACACGTATCACAGTAAACTGTCAAAATAACATGATTGAATCACATCAGACATCACATTATAATAGGTTCAAGGTTCAAGATTTGTATTGGTCAAACGTGCATAGCTACAGTGTAGTTATGACGATAAAAATCTTAGGTCACAGGCTCCTCCAACAGTGCAACACAATAAAACAGATAAACAGAAAAAGGAAAAATTGTAAAAAAGTGAAATAGTGAAATAGTGCAAGTGATTGGAATGATATATTAGATAAATCATTTCTAAGTAGCAGCCAGATTAATGTTAGGATATTGTTTCAAGTTCAGGTGTTTCATAGTCTTATGGCCTGTGGGATGAAACTGTCCCTGAGTCTGGTGATTTTAGTCCGGATGCTGCGGTACCGCCTGCCAGACGGCAGTAGACAGAACAGTTTGTGGCTGGGGTGATACTTTATAAAGCTTTGTTTTTACTCTTAGTTTAATGCAGACATGTGACTCACTTGCTGGGAAGCAGTCATAGGTGGTTTCCGGGTATTTGGCGGTCCCATAGCAGGGATCCTTAGAAAAGACTCTTGGGTTTAGTTCACACTCCGTCTTGCCGTCACAGCTGTAGGAAACAAATTAGGACTATGTTTGCTTCAGCGCAGAGTAAAAGCACACCTAAAGTTAAATTGAGTAAATAATGTAGTAACCTGGACTTATCTTCAACCCCAAGCTTTAGGTGCAATATATAATGTGAAACTAGGACTTGAGAGTGTAAAACTCTTTAATATACAGTATAATGTAATTCTTTCATCAGTTCAGTCACATATCTTTGCTCTTTCACTTATTTATGTAACTTCGATCAGCCAAATTAGTAGTAGGGAACTGCTGCATCTGGTAAAGTGCATGACTGCCTGTTAAATGTCATCAAAGTATACATTTAAGGCACTGCATTTGGAATACATTAATTAGAATGCCTATGATAATATGATATTACACAAAATGTGTACCTCAACTTGATGATGTCCAGTGTGTCCTCCAGAGAGCAGTGTGTATTTGAGATCTGTGAATGAGGTCTTCCCTTAATGCAAGTGTCGCTGTCTCTGCATCCATACAGTGCATCCTTCACAACGATCACTCCAGTATCTTTTACACAGTAATTGAGGAAATTAAGAAACAAGAAAAATCCCATCCCTTATATATTTGCTTTTATGGGTATGATTTTTGCACAGTGTACACAAAGAGTTAAGTCGTACCACAGCTCAGGCGATGGACATTGTAGACGCCGCCACAGGTGGTTACTCTCTTTGTGCCAAACATTGAAATGACAAAAGTTATTTGAGTGTGTTCAAACCTCATACTGTTTGTAGAAAACAAATGCAATCACTGTTGCTATCACACCTCCTCAGATATTTACCTGTCTTCATCATGAGCAAAAATGTTGCTGCCAGAACTGCAAAAGAAACATCACTGTAAAACGGTGTCAGCCCAACATCGATTTTTCTTTAAGGTTTTAAAGATAATTTATATATATGAATATTTATATATATATAAATCTATATTTTTTTTTTAAATAAATACTTTGGCTACTTTATCAAGATAGATTCTATTATCATTTGTATTTTACTTGAAACCACATAAGTATTGTTTTAGTCCTAAGTCGGCTGTGTTCTTACGCAGGGTTGCGCTGACTCTGAAGCGAAGCATGGTTTCTAGAAGCTCTAGTCGTAGATAGCATGGACTGATGGTTACTCTGTTTTTCTGCCAGGTGAAGAACTGACCTAGCCTTTTATATAAAACATTTGACATTCTTTACATGGCATGTAGATATGACAAATGAACACCTTATAAGGAAGGAAGGTTTTTCATTGGGTTGAGACATATTTTAGGCTAAACAGGTTTCTCAGTTTCCTCCTCTTTTACATAAATTAGATGGTTGTTCCTGCAAACTGACGATTATATATTGTATTGCTATTTTGAGTTGTCTTCCTTGAACACTCTCAAGCACTTATTTTTGTTTTCTGGACTTCCTTGAAGAACCCGAAAAACATCAGTCACAGAGAGCCACTGAAGTGGAGCTCTGCTTAAGCACAGACATTTCTTTCATTTTCTGTTGAATCGTTACCTCGATATCAAGTGACATGTAATAGTATCAAGTTATAAGAAAAATGTATCACAAACAGACAAGAAATTGCTGATTTAACAGATATTTTACACATTTACACGTTTATTGTGATCTTTTTGTGGTTTCAGTATGCTAACAGCAACCCTCATGTGCAGGGCTTGATTTAAAACATGTGAGGCTAAGAGGAAGTAGGAAAAACAACTTCAGATTACAGCCTAACAATGTTTTCGCCATGATGACTTGACACATAGGGCAAAAACATACTTGGTATGCAATAGTTTGTCAAAACAAAGATCTTGGTAAAACCAGATTGTGCCAAGCAGCATGAGTGGCTCCATTGCATTCCAGAGTTGCTTTTACTGTACATCTCTCTCTAAGAAATATTGCCAAAGTGCATCCTGTTTTTAAATAAACAAGACACTGACACACCTCATGCAGTCATTTAAAGTAGGTTGGACTACCCTTTTCATTTTACAGGTTTTCCCAAAAAGTCAATTGAAAAACTGCAACTTATTCAAAACTCTGCTGCTATAGGCTTTTATCAAAAACAAGAAAAATGTGCACATTACTCCTGTTTTATCTACGTTACTCTTCATGGTTTGGCACCCTCATATATCACGGATTCTCTGTCGTTTTATGTCCCTGGAAAAGCCCTAAGGTCCTCGTAAGCAGGCTTTCAAAAATATTCCTAAATTCACCCAAAATAAAATCATTTTTAAACGACAGCTGAAGACATAGCTTTTTATTACGACATTGCCCTTTAGTTAGTCTTTTAAAATAAGAGATATTTTTTTTATTTTGCCTTATGTCCTCTTGGGTTATCTGTTGGAACTTTTGGATCATTAGTTATTTAATTTTACTTTTTTTAACTCCTAGTGTTCCTTGAATTGTCATTTTGTGCTCAAAAAGGTCTTTGTTTGACCTGAATTGAATTTCTTGTTTTCTGTTTAATTTTTGATGTGTTCCATTTTGTTAAAGCACTTTGAGCTACACCTAGTGTATGAATAGTGCTCTACAAATAAAGCTTTATTATTATGTATCACTTTAGTTAGAATTAGATGACACCGTCATTATCATATTCAAACCAAGCCTTTAGGTAGTATTACTAAGAGGAGTTCTTTACTTAAGTAACCAACTATGGAAGTTTGCATTAACAAGTAAATCACATGAAGTGTTCAATATCAAATCAAGAGTATTAAATCGGAGATTTCGCATTATTTATGTGTAAACGTTTTTAAAAGTTATTTTTATTGTTCGAAGACTGTCAATAATTGGAAACATTACATTTTTTCATTTATTGTCCAGAATTAAGACCTAAACTGAATTATACTTTATATTTGAATATGAAGAAATGAAAGCTTTAGCGCAAGTTCAATAAGGAAGACCTAACAATGAGTCACTTACACGTCACTCTATTGCTCTCTCCCCCCTCATTAAATACGTTGGCGTCACCCCTCAGCAGCCAATTGCTGCACACGTTAAATTCCTTACATGCCTGCTCTTCCTTCCTGTCAGTTGTCATTTCAGGTGACCACACGCAACCCTCCTCCACCCCTCTCGCCTCTCGTCTCCTCCAGGACAAAGCTAAACCTTCCTCCTTCAGACCGGTCCCACCTACTTATCACCACCACCAGTGTCTAGACCCCGGGGATTTTCATCGGAGCGGTTCTTTCCCTCCTGAATGATTATCCTGCAAACCGGGACCTAATCGTCAAACACCATTCCATTCTCCTGTTGTATTATCATGGCAATCATTTCATTTTTATGACGTGTAACAATAAATATGTATTCCATACATCACGTCTCTCCGGTTTGAAGTGAAAATAATCTACAACCATGTTAGTGTTTCTTTGAGGCTGTTCAGGGTTTAAGTGATAAGCATCTGTTTAAAGCTGTGTGCTGATTTAAGGCGACTTGAAATGAATTAGAAACATTTTTACATTTTAGTGACCCATGGTGGCAGTGTAGAGATATAACAGATTCACAAAGTTTGTCATGAAGTCTTCTCTGAAAGACCATCTACCATGGCTATTTCAATCAGGAGAGACTTAATTTTGTTTAAAGAACATTTATTGACAAATGTCATATGATAAATGTTAAGTCTTTGGGGATTACACCCCGATCCTGAAATCGTATATCTAAAGGGGGAAATGCAGTGAGCATATAGGGAACCCCCCGGGGTCTAGACACTGGT